CCCTGTGCTTTGCTAAGCTTATTCTAAGTAGGTGCTTTAGACCACTGAGCCATCTCACCAGCCCCACAAATTAAAAATTTTAACATACCTTATAAAATGGGTATTACTATTAGCAAAGAAAATCTAAATGCAAAGAACAAGGGATGAGATTCAGGACAAAAACTCATCAATAAAAAAATAAAATAAAATAAACTCATCACTCCTTTGGCTTGCAATGCTCTTGTGCATACACAGACAAAATTGAGACAAGCAAAATTATTTTAGAGGCCATTCTATAATTTATTTTATTATTAAACTAGTTGGGAACATATCTAGGAATTTTTCCTTTTGTCTAGAGGAAGTTAAAAGTGCAATATAAATGAAAATTCAATTAATTACTTCCTTATGAAATTGTATGCACCTTGAATTAACTAGCACTAACATAAAATTATCTGATTTTCAGAAATTTTCTGGAAAATTCACAAACCACACAAGGTTATTCTTTTTTAAAATCACTATGCTAACCCTCAGATTTTCTGGAATGCAGCATCCTCAATATTACAAAGATCCAAATGAGTCTATAGGGACAACCAATCCCAACAGATAGCTGGAATAATTCATAGGTTTACAGATACCCAGAATTATCAGAAATCCCCCTAAGTCAGAACAGAGACTGTCTTTATATTTGTGACAGCAGGGTATATCCAGTCACTAACAAAGCTACAGTGCTGCAAAACACAAATCTAGGAGGTATAAACAGAACTTCAACTAAATGGAAAGCTTGGTTAACCACAGTTGAGTAAACCTGAGTTGCAGCGTAATCTGATAAGGAACAAACAGCATGAATTCTCCAAGTGTAAGCCATGTGTCCCTAGCGTACTATGGTTCTTTGAAGGAGTTAATCAAATAGTGGAGAAACAAAAACTAATGCATATAATTCAAAAGGTGTTTCTTCATTTTTGTTTTTGTTTTTAAAAAGTGAAGTTGCGCGCATGGGCCTGGGGATGTAGCTTAGGCGTAGAACGCATCTATAACATATTTGGAACACCAGATTCAATCCCCAGTATTGTAAATAGGTAAACAAACAGAGGCTATTATGAAAATTTAGTAATTGCTATGGATTAATAACTAACGCACCAGAAGTCAGGATCAGTAAAAATCGGTTAATGGCAGAGCAGAAGCATATGTGGTTAGAAAAGACTGAAAATTGCCAAATACGTGAAACTCTCTACTGGAAAGCCTGAAAGTACCTGCTGAGATACAGTGAAATTCCCTCTTCACCAAGTAAAGAAGCAAAACTTAAGGTATACTGATATGCACAAAGTGAGAAAGGGAACAGAATAAAAGAAGACATGACAAAGAGTGATAAAATGGATGGCATAGAAAATGCCAACTGGTGTTTTTTACTTTTGCCTTTATGAAAATACAAAAACTTTATGTAGAGCTTTATAATAGAAGACAACAGAATGAAAATAAGAGGAAATTATTTTATGCAGCATATAATTAACTCATTGAACATGCATGAACAGGATATAAGGTATAAAATTTAGCATGGCTCTCAAAGATTTTTTTGAGATATCAAAGTATAGTTTTATAATAAAATTACTTATGCTGAAAATTAAAATAGAGCACGTTTCACGCTTCAGGATATAAATGAGGAAAAGTGAGAAGTTCCTTTTCCAGATGCTATATGTAAAATGATTTACAATTTCAACTTTTAAGCATTCCTAATTCCATCCTAGAGTCCACAGTAAATGATATTCATTCAAAATGTTTTTTCAGATATGCTCTACTTTCCTATTTTTCTAAATAGCAGAATTTCAATCTCACCCAATTCTTCTACTTCATTTAGCTCAGCTTCAAAATAATGCCAAAGAGACATAACAAAGAACTACTAAACCATATATTTAAAGTTTCTATCTCAAAAAGAATTACTTTGCTTCATTTTTTAACTTTCCTTTCCTAAGACAAAATTTAAATTCCTATAATACTTTGGTTATATTCATACCCTATACATATCACAAAATACAATTGTGAGTTTAGATGCTAAAATCAATCATATTTAAGAAAATTTTAAACTGTGTCTAAGAGCTACAACAGCAAGAGCAATTTTATAAAATGAATTTTAATCAATAAGCAATACCATCTAATAAAGACAGTACAACGTCTATTAAAAAGGTAGAGCCCTCTGAACTCTATCTTCACCTGGGAGAATGAGTAACTGGCCTAGGAAAGGCCGTGGCTTCAGTCAGTTCATAAATTCAACACATAAAGATCAGGCTGAGAACATTACAGGCAAAACTCCCAGCCTTGAAAGCCTAAGATATTATGGAACGCTCTGGGGAGTCAATAAAAAAGCAGATGTTATACTAAACTTTGAAAAACTATAAACCTACGTGCTGATAAGACGAAAGGGATCACAAGGCAGGTTTACATTTTGTGTCCATTTTGTAATCCTCTCCATTTTGGGCTTAGCAATAGGGTGCCACACGTGGTATAAACCCAGCCACCGCATTCAAGCTTGACTGAATTTTAAAAGTGACACTGTAAGCAAATATGCTGCAAGGGCATTCTAGAATTTCAGGGTGCTACTGACCATGAAATTCAGTCATCTTAGTACTTGCTTCAAGTTTAAACAGGATATAAACTACAATCCCCACCTAAATTAAATATATACCCATATATTTCATCTATCAAAAAATAGTGCCCAGAACATATTACTTGCAAAGAAAGTATCTTAACATGTGTATCTTAAAAAGGTTATGCAATATAAGTTAAAAATAAGCAAAAGGTTTTCTAAATTATAGGATTTATGTATTTCTTCTTGAGTATAAAATTTAAAAATGCTTTAGAATGTCAATAAGGCAATATCCTTAAAATATGTGATAGAAAGCTAAGTAGCAAAAGCCCTTGTATGCCATTTGGTTTGGGATACAGAAGAAAAAACAGAGGAAAAATTAAATGATTATACTTGCCTGCATTAATTTTCCTTCTGCTGGGGTTATTTCAGCAACACCAGCAAATACACCTTCCAAAGTGAGATTCAGTTTTCCTGTGGGGTCCATTTTCAACGGAATCACTCTGATAATAGCTTTCTGCTCTACTGATCTTTCCGACTCCACCGCCGCTGCCAATACGAGTCCTGTGCGTCCAAAGCCTGCCTGCAGGGTAGCCATCAGCAGCCAGGGCCAGAGGGCAGCCAGCTGCAGCTGGTGGCCACCACTCATGCTGCCAGCTGCAGCAATGCACTTGGGCCATACATACTGCTTCCACTAGCTAACACCAAACGCAGGTCTCAGATCCAGATAAACGGAAGAACAGAGAATTCATGCTTCAGTTTCAGAAAGCCAAGTCATAATTTTGGCCCTTCTTTTCTCTAAAGCTTATTCCCAAGAACAGGTGGCATTCCTGTTCGGGCAGAAAAAGAGGGTGTACTTAGCCCACTTCTGCTGCAGGGATGTCCTTTTCTCCCATCTTCACTCTGACTAGCAATAACACCACTTCTCTTTGGGATTTCCAGCTTCACTTGAGATTGAATGTCACATTGTGAATTCTTCTTATGTCAAATCACTTGGTGTTGGTTCCATATGCATCAAGTTGCCGAGGGACTAAACCCAGTGTTGATGACCAAAACAAGGCAAAGTAAACAGCTAAGGCCATGCATCGAAGACGAGAAGGAATAACTCCAGCTCAGAAAATGAAGACACGGACCTTTTAAGCCACAAAATTGGTCAATTATAAATGATTAAAAACCACAAGGAATTTTTTTAATAGAAGAAGAGAAGCAATAATTTTTAAAAACTTCATACCACACCTTGAGGGATGCTACAGCAGTTAGCAGAAAGGTTTCCAGATTAAATTGTGTTTCAGTGTCTTCCCATATTCTATGTCCACTAAATTTATATACTTTTCATGAACTAGGACATGCTATAATTTTATGTGCTCTACCAAAATTTGCCTATAAATTTGGTACTATTATATATATTACAAGATAATCTTGCATATAACCTTAAATCAGAATATTTGAAAAGTTTAGCTTTCCAATTATTTTTCATAGATAAAATTCATATTTCTATTATGATTTACCTTACTCTCTTAGGGATTCCAGATTTTATTCTCTAGCTTGAGAATATCAAGCACTTGATTTTCCATGAGATGCTTTTGGAAACTAATACCCAAATATAAACTGTAAGTTTTTAGTTTCATTAGAAAAACAAAGAACTATTCCCAACACGTTTTCAAATTCCTTAAGGGGGTGGTGAGTAAAAGATAGGGGAGATTGGGGACATGATTCATCATAGGCTTTAAGTAGAACACTCTAAAAAAAAAAAAAAAAAAAAAAAAAAACTACAATTAAGCCTGAGTAGAGTAGTTCTGTGCTATTTCTAGGCACATTTAAGAATGCTGGGTCTTCATATAAACACAGAATAAGATTTTAAAATAAACACCCTTAAGTGAATACAAATGCACTTCACCCATAAAGCCCAATGCATTTGGAGGTCGAGATTAAAAGATCTTATAGTCTTCAGAATAAGTGCCAAAAAGCCAACCTACTGAACATGAACCTGTTATATTCTTTTCTTTTGCTAAAGCAGAAGGAGGTAGGGAAAAAGAATTCCAAAAGAAATCTGCAAACCTGTTGCGCTGTCGGGCCCACTGGAATCCACGGGGGTGAAACACATTCACTCCTGCTTTTATAGATCCTGCTCAGAAAGGGTTAGAACTGCTTAACCAAATACAGCTCATTCTTCCACCTTCAGACTCTGAAACCAAACCAAGTGTCCCACACTACAGGTAAGTGCCGAGAAATTCCATAGCCTGAAAAAGTAATCCATGCAGGTCAAGAAAACTTATTCCAGGATGAGAGCTACTGTCCCCAAGGACTCTAAAAACATTTACAGAAGATCCAAAATCATTTCTCAATTCTAACGAAAATTCTTTTTCTCTTCGAACGGCATATTAAACGGTCAAATCTTGAAAGTGAAAAGAAGCAATGTAGCAATACATCAGCAACAATTCAGTACCACAAGCACAGAAAATCCCAGAGGGAGAAGGCAGTATCTCTGAATCATGGATGGACTTGGAAAGTTCGAAAGGATTCGAGTGCTTCCCTTCCAGAAAGACAATTCTGGATCAGCTCCTAGAGCAGGAAGCCTGTGGTTTGTAATTGGCGTTCTAGCTCTGACTCCCTCCCCTGGGACTGCAATCACGCTCTCTACCTGCTGACAAAGTGAGGGTGGAGCAGCCAGAGGCAGCCACCCGCCCCTCCTCCTCCTGGTGCGTGCACGCACCACTTACTTAACCAGACCCGTTCTTTGCCTCTCTTCTCTCAGCTCCTGCACTCCCTCTAGTGAGCTATGGCCCAACTGCATTCAGTTCAAGCCTCAACACCTTTCTCCGGGTCAGCAAGCTACCACAGGTTAATCAGGGCCACTCAAACATACCCAAGCAGATTCTGCACCCAACAGAGTAGAGATGGTGGCATGAGGAAATAAACAGAAAAAAAAAAAAAATCGGAAAGATAAAAGAATGGACACAAGGTTTTGCAAATATAAGTTCAAAGGATTTTCTGCTCTTTCCGGGTTTTTGTCTCTATAAATGGCACAAAGCCAGACTAAAGTGAACTTATACTGTAGCCCTTACTGATTTATTGCTGCTTCTATCTGCTACCTTGAGAAGGACTCTGACAAATTTATACATAGCATACTAACTTAAATTTAGTACCTCTGTTCAAACTGTTCCTGTATGGAACTTGTAAATCGGGGTGATGTCAGAGGTCTGGAGTGTTATTTTCTTCTCACATCTTTGGGAAGTGAAATAATACTATAGATCAGACCAAAGCCCCTGATGTAAAACTACAAGTCTGTCACTAATGCAAGCAAAGGGTAAAATGAGAAGAGTGTAGGCAGCAAAAAAGAAAACTAATTTCCACTTATTACCATATTCATGAGGGCTGGCTAAATAGCTCAGCAGATTAAAACTCCTGCAAGCAGGCGCAGGGGCCCAGGGGCCGGGGAGTTCGATCCTAGGCCTGCTGTGCCGGCCCCACCCCTGGGGCACCCTAAGATGGCAATTGAGACTGGGAATGGTGGCTTGCGCCTGTAATCCCAACTCTTGGGAGGCTGTAAACAGGTGGATCACTACAAGTCCAATCTAGTAGTAAGACCCTGAATGTAGACCCTTCCCTAAAATACAAAAATAAATAAACCTTTGTCTTTTACCATATTCATAACCCTTGTAACAAATAAACTTGCCATTAGAAATAATGCAGAAGTTTCTAATATATTTCCAATATTTGGATTGTCAAACTTAGATATTTGTCTGTGGTTAGGTATTTCTCAACTACTACCAAAATCTTTCACCATTACATCAATGAAAAACAATGTGAATATAGTTTCCTGATCTGTATACACTTCTAAGTGGATAAAAGGTTGAGGGTCTGGCTCAGGGGTGCAGCCTTGTCTGGCACACCCAGGACCGTATATTGAATCCACAGTATCAAAGAAAAAGCTTACAGTAAATTTTACATTGTTTTTACTTCATGTGCAAATGAACTTTTGTATGATAATCTGTAAAACATGAGCAATAAATTGGACTGCAGGTTTTTGTAATGATTGTCTCTGAAAGCAAAAAGTAAAAGTGGCCTCTCTACCTTGAACATTTTTACTGTATAGAAAGCTTATATTTCAGAATTTCAGATCTAATAACTAACCTAGAGCAGAGACAAATTCTAAAGTAAATTCTTGGCCAGGTGTGGTGGCGTATGCCTGTAATCCCAGCACTCAGGGGACAGGAAGATCTTTACAAATTCAAGATCAGGCTGGGCTACAAAGTGAGCTCAAAGCCAGCCCGAGCTGCATAGTAAGACTGTCCAAAAATAAAAAAAAAAAAGTAATTCTTATTTAGTACTTTTTCTCTTGTTTGGACTTTTAAAATGATACAATACACACCTTTTGTAGTTCCTTTCTTTCTTTTTTTTTAAATTTTATTTATGTGTGTGTGTGTGTGTGTGTGTGTGTGTGTGGCCAGCTCAGCCCACCAGGGGGCGGGGCTGGCTGGCATGTGGTGCTGGGGGATCGAACCGCAGTCCCTGTGCTTTGCTAAACTTGTTGTAAGTAGGTGCTTTAGACCACTGAGCCATCTCACCAGCCCCTGCAATTCCTTTCCTAAAAGGTAGAAAACACTATAATTCTTCTGGAGAGAGATTTTTAAAATACGTTGTTTATTTATTTTATGGCAGTACTGGTCTTTGCATTGCACTATATCCCCACCTCACCCCGCTTTTTTATTTTTTTGGCGGAACGGGGATTGAACTCAGGCCCTTGCACTTGCCAGGGAAGTGCTTATTCCACTGAGCCATCTCCCCAGGCGCTCACTCCCTTTTTTTTTTTTTTTTTTGAGATAGGGTCTCATCGTGTAGTTCAAGCTGGCAAATTTACTATGCAGCCCAGGCTGACCTCCAACTCATGGCAGTCCTCATCCTCATGCCTCAGCCTCCCATGTGCTAGGTTGATAAGCATGTGCCACCACTTCTAACTCCCAGGCCTTTTTATTTGCTGAAATGGGGTCTTGCTATTACTAAGTGGCTAAACTGTTCAGGCTGGGCTCAAATTTGTATTCCTCCTGCCTCAGTTTCCCAGAGTGCTGGGATTATAGTACATTCCATCACAACTAGCTTAGATTTTTATTTATGTTTATGTTTTATAGCATAAATAATGAAATTATACGTATGACATTGATACATGCAAAATATCTTTAACATTAAACAAAAGATAACCTATACATCGACTTTACCTCATTTTCTCTGCTTGAAATTTGCAAAGGAATTAACCTAACAGTCAAAGTTTGCATTTAGTTGGGGGAAAAAGAAACTACAGAAGTTAACTATCAAATTGGTCTTCCTAGAGGAAGAAGAATCTGGGAATAACGATGATACAATAACCCAGGTATAATAAAACTGGGGACACTGAGACATTTAGGCTGAAGCCAAAGAGCTCCATGTAAGTTAGTCTGCAGATAAGCTATGTTTGTTTACGTACCAGAATTGACAAGCAAGAGAAATTACTCCCCAGCTTCAAAGTAGGAGAGCTACCTTTCACAGGCTGATGAATGTCCCACTTCCTCTCCAGAGCTGTCATGAAGCCAGTTTCACGATGGCAATGAGAAGCCTGTCTCACTGACATCTACAACCTCATCTTACACCCAATGCACATCACCGTTCAGGATCTACTTTCCCATCTAAACTGACTAAATTTACTCAAGAATATTCAGCCTTTACCACAAAATTGTCCAGGAATTGTCCTTATCCATAATGACATTTTAAATTTCCAATCTCTATTTAAGTGCAAATGAAAAATGTCAGGATAGTATTTTTAAAAATAAGGTTCTTTGCAAAACAGTGCAAATCTGGGTGTGGTAATGCATGCCTGTAATCCCAATACTGTGAAGCTCTAGGCAGAAGCTTCACAGTAAATTCTATGACATCCTGAACTGAATAGCAAGACCCTGTCTCAAACACCACCCCCCAGAAAGAAAAACATAGTATATTCCCTTTTGAACTTTACTGGTATTATTAATGGCCAGAAAAGTGGAATTTTCTACTGATTGCCAATAAAATAGTAAAAACAAGCAAGAAAAGTCTAGTTAAAACACTCACTTTATTGTTGACTGATTAAAATTTATTGGTGCTTAAGGTGCTGAAACACTGAGGTGCTAATCAGGAACCTTGTTAGTATGTGTCAGATCCTACTGGCTAATTCACATGAAGATTTTACCTCTTGCCATTCTGCGCAAGTCACTGATGACAGCTTTAGTTGATAGACACTGAGCATGTGAATACTGCAGGAGATCCAGCTCCTTGGTTTGTTGTGTTCATATATATAAAACTTTGGAAAGTCCCTCAAAGCATTTCATTAATTAAGCCTTAAAACCACTGAAACCAAACCTATGCCAAGGTTCCTGCTTGACACATATTCCTCAAAAGATATTCTCTCTTTCGACAATAGAGGGCTGAGAAAAGCATATGGAAGGGAATGAATATCACCTACACAGTTTACCAGCTCTTCAGTAAATGGCAGAGAAAAGAAAAAGTTCCTTCAGTAGGAAACTGGGTCTTCTTTTCACATAGTCTGCCAAAATATACAGTCTGGCCAAAAGATATAGATGTCTTGATAATTTGTTCATTGTGAAGCCTTGCTAATAAAGATACATAGATACCCATTACCTAGACATGAATTAGTCTAATCTCTTGGATCAGAGAGATCACTTTTCAGAATCTACTTTCATACAGAAACTGAGTCACCAGAGACTAAGACAGAGCTCATCCTTTTGGGAAAAAAAATAAAGCCAGGCCTCTGTAACACTTCCTGGCCTGGCCTTCATTGTGGAGGCACAGTGCAGTAAAATGAGACATGAGCTGTAACCGCCACCGTGGCTGGTACAGTCATTCTGTCATATCATTAAGTGCTCTTTCTCATCAGTTTCACAGTCTCAGGCTTTCCTTCTGTTTTTGCAGTGCATGTTAGGAAAAAATGAAGAATACAATTAAGTATTAGTCAATTCAAAAGACTTTAAATCAGAAAAGCTCTTGTCATCGAATGGGAAAGCAAGGGATTAACTACAAAACTGGACATCCATGAAGACTGGACATGTCTTCCTCACCTTAAAAACAATCCCACAATCCCACTACTCTAATTAAGAATCCTATAGAGAGGATAAGAAAAAAATCTTACAGTTTGTCCCACTACCCAAAATTGTCTCAGAAATTTAAGCCAGATACAAACTATTAAAAAAACATTAGACCATAGCTTTTGCTATATGATAACTAATCAATTTCCCCCAAAAGTTGCCAATAACTTTTTATAGATGAGGATTTGTACTTGTTGAATGTCAAAATCTAAAATGAGAAACACTGCATTAAATTCTAAGGTTTTGCTCATACATTGTACATTTCTCCTCCAAAATGAAAATATTATATATCTATATTAATAAAAATATAAAGCTTTAAAACCTTTAAATCTACACCATTTATAAATACAAACAAATTAAATATTTTTCTTTAGAAGACAATTAAGTGATATTAACAAAACCTTCTTAGCATTTATGATAATGTATCATTAAAATTAAAGAAAGATATGAAAATAGAAAAATACTCTCATTCATATAAAAGAATCAGGGGTTGTTAAGTGTGACGGATGGTCCAAGTCCAGGTGCCTTGCACTTGAAACAAATTACAGGGTTAGGAAATAAGAGAATTTCCTGTAATCACTTAGAAAATTAGCTCTTGCCCAGAGTTTCTTTCCTGGAATTCCTGGCCCATTTAGACTTGTGATCATGGTGACCTTCCATGCCTTTGTTTCTCACACAATCTTCTCTACCAGGATGACACCATGCTTGAAACAGAGAATAAACTCCCCGCTGGAGCACTGTTGATGTCACTTTGAGAGTGGCAAGACAACTCAGCACTGTGCTCCACACGTGCTCCAGCACCACAGATGCAGCAGTCTGTAGATACTTAACAGGAGGCTTGGACTTTGCATCTGAAAGGGATCTGGGCAGCAAATAAAACATAGCTGCTAGATGTTTAGTAGTTTGTCAAGGTAAATAATCGGAACTGAACAGCTGTAATAAATACCAAACTCCCAATTTTCAATTAACAAAATTCTCAATTAACAAAACAAAAAGTATTTCTTTTCCTTAACAGAACTGAAAAAATCCCAACAGTGCCATGTGCAAGGCTGGTCTGCCTCCAGCGACTGCTAGTGCACAATGTCACTTCTGTCATCCGTTCCTCACTCTTTGAATTCTTCCTCCTTTGGAAAGTGCTCCTGCTTGCAGGCCACATCCACCAGCAGGTGAAGATCTAGAAAGAAAGGATTGTTTGCTTACTCTCAGCTTCTCAGTGTACAGGGTTCTAAGACAAATCTTCAGATAAGAACAGGCTGCCTTCACTGCACCTGTAGGATTGGCTCTAAAATTACCTTATTTTATAGATCCTCAAGTTTAGAGAATTCTTATCATTCTAAAACACTGAATGCAGCCCAGTTGTACACTTAAAGAGACCAAAGTTTTAAAATTTCTCTCCTGGTTAATGGTATGGCCAAAACCTAATTTGACTACACTTGTTTTTTATTATATATGAGAAAGTAATGTGTGAAAGAAATCAAAGTGAAATATACATACACAAATGAAAATTCATTTACTCTGTAGTACAAGGCCAGGTGGGTAGGCTGTAGGGATAGGAAGAAGTGAGGCCGACAGAAAACTAATGTTAAAGTAAGTAATCACTACTTTCCCAAAGGGGATCACCTCCCTAACATGCCCATCTTTTGACTAACACAGCCATACTCTTGTGAAAACACCTAGGAAGCTGTAAGAAAGAAGGCATAGACTTAGAGATTAAGACACAGATGGTTCATTAAGAATGAAAAGAAGTAAAAAATGTAAGCTTGGGTACTAGGTTCTGTAACACAAGAGAGCGAAGAGTTTCTCCACAGTTTAAATAAAAAACATGGTAACAATGATAACTATCATATTTACATAATTTTTTTCAAGTACCTAAAATACAATAAGAGGTAGAACGTTTAAACTACTAAGTAAAGCCACACTGCACACTGGAATCAGTTGGGGTTCTTAAAATACTGATGCCTGGGGCTCATATTATGAGCATATTATAGTAAAGGATGTGACCAGCTCAGGCAACTGAAATATGCTGTCTTTTGAACATACTGTTTATTTATACATCAATTTACACAATAAGCCTTTATCTATAAGGTATACACAAACAGGCATAAGGCCTGTTATGATCTCAGTCACTCATATGAATAGAAGACCAAACTGAATCTAAGTCACTCACTAAACAAAAGTTGCATCTAATTTGAGGCAGGGTGAGACAGCACACTATTAGAATAGAGACCCTTGGGCTGGAGATACACATAGCTAGCTCAGTGCCACAAGCACCTGCCAGCAAGCAGCAGGTCCTGAGTTCAGCTTCTGATACAGAAAAAATAAATAAAATAGAGATATTATGCAAACTCTGCCTCTTGAGGCTTGCATAGATATTTTGTGACCAAAGTTCAGTCACTTGCTAGAGACACTTTCTCTGATTAACAAATCTGTGGTGTCTCTTTACACAGTATTTGTGATAATTTTCACCTGATTTATTGTACAAGCCATTTGTGGGCCATTTGTTTTTGAGTATAACCAATCAGTTTTTTGTGGAACTACTCTCTTAGTTTTTAAAAACTCTTCACCTTGGCTTCCCATAAGCTGTAACATCACTACATACTTGACATGACTGCCACCATGTTCCTTACACTACTCTATAAGATATTTTGATTTAACTGGTATGCAATACAATGTAGGAATCATGATTTTTTACAGCTAATCAAAAGATGTGGACAACACCTAAATGGGATCATTTTCTAAATACTTCAGCCCCATATCAAAACAAAGACAGCTGTGTGGTCATAGAAAATATTAAAATAAGATTTTGGGGGCTGAGGAGATGGCTCAGTGGAATAAATGCTTCTCCGGCAAATGTAAGGGTCTGAGTTCAATCCCCTGTTCCACCAATAAATAAATAAATAAATAAATAAATAAATAAGATTTTTTTGATATGAATAGAGTCAGTTGGAACTCTACTTTGAGCAGAGTAGGAATTCTGAATAATGACAAAGGTAAAAATTATTAAAGCAACTAATTATTTTATACGGGGAGGCAGACCAAACAACAGCAGCAACAAAAACCTTTTTAATGACTGGACTATAAAATAAAATGGCATTTGATATACCATTTCTAATAACAAGCATCTAAACATGATAATTTTATTAAATTGAGCTTCCTTCATGTACTGTCAATCAAGAAGCTAGAGAGCCAAGGAGATAGCTCAGTAGAATAAGCACTTGCCTGGCAAGTCCAAGGTCCTGAGTTAAATCCCCAGTACTGGAAAAAAAAAAAAAAAAAGAAGAAGAAGAAGAAGAAGAAGCTAGAGAAGATAGAAACCCATAAAAATACAAGACAAAGATTAGCCTGGTGCATCTATGGATTTATATAACTTTATTCAGAAGAGAACCTTGCATATTCATCAAAGAAAATAAATAAATATTTTGGAAGCATACACTGCCCCTGAGTCAGCTTCAGAAGTAAAAGGCCTTAGGCGTAAGAGCTGCTTGTTTGGGAATGTTACTTTCCACTTTAGATCACTCTACAGTTTGGGAGAGTGCTAGTGCTAGTATTGGGAGTGGTAGCGGGTGGTTTACCAAGAATCAAATTCAGGACCTTGTGCTTGCCAGGCAGGGGCTGCACCGCTGAGCTATCTCCTGGGCCCTTGAGCTACTATCTTAACAAATGCTCATCTATAATCCAATACCTACCAAATAGTATTTTCTTTAGGAATACATTGAACTTTGTTTTCAAATATTCAGTTTCCCTTAACCATAAAATTATATATTCCAATGGAACATAAAAGTATGTAGTTTCCACAATGAGATTACTATTTGGTTACATTCATTTTCTGGCAATATCACTATTGAAACTACAGCAGTATGACTGAACCTAATATTCTTTACCCGTTGTTATTTTTGATCCAAAACATATTTTCTTAAGTCAACATGTACTT